TGATGGAGACTAGCATCAAAGTTTCAGATTTTAGCAGAAGTCTTAGTCTGCTAAAAGTACACCACATGATATTTATACATCAACTATACCTCAATTTTAAAAAAAAGGTACAGAAAAAAAAGTAAACCATGTGATAAGTCCTTGCCAGTCTTCCTAATGCCCTCATCACCAAGAAGACAGAGGGAACAACAAGTGAACTTCTATTCTTGACTTAAATCTGACGAAAAAGAACTTAACGGCTATTGTGTAATTTCCAGGAACCTCGAGGAAAAATGACTGCGTCATTCCTGGTCAAACAGAGGAAAGGGACCATCAGGCTGAGCTGACGCGAGTCCTGGACTTCGGAAAACAGGCTTTGGAAAGTTCCGGAAAAAATGATAAGTATGCCCCTGTTGGCCAGGAATATGATTCACAAGAAAGGGAAACTGTGAGAAAAAAAGAAACAACAACAGTGTCAGATCGAACACATAAATAATCCTTGTGAAAAAGAACAGGTGATGCCTGTTCAGAAAAACGTCTCGGAATTGTTCAAATTTCCACAGGATGTGTTGAAATGGCTGAAGGACGTGCATGGAGGGAGGCTGTGCCCTGTGCTTAGAAGCAGAGCTGGGAGGAAGGCGGGAAGGAAAGGCCCTCGAGCTCTCATTAAAGATGAGGCCTGGGTTACACACACACACACATAAAAGGCAGGTGTGACTTTGGCGTTTGAGGGTGTGATAATGTGATATAATAAGAGATACATATTTGGTCTTCATCCCCGATTCCTGGCACAGGGCTCCTAAAACCCTTGTACTTTCCTCCTGGGGCGAGCAGAGCGTCTTGTGCTCTTCTCAATATATATATATATATTCTCATTATATATATTGGAGAAGGAAATGGCAACCCACTCCAGTGTTCTTGCCCGGAGAATCCCAGGGACGGGGGAGCCTGGTGGGCTGCCGTCTATGGGGTCACACAGAGTCGGACACGACTGAAGTGACTTAGAGGGCTCCTAAAACCCTTGTACTTTCCTCCTGGGGCGAGCAGAGCGTCTTGTGCTCTTCTCAATATATATATATATTCTCATTATATATATTGGAGAAGGAAATGGCAAACCACTCCAGTGTTCTTGCCCAGAGAATCCCAGGGACGGGGGAGCCTGGTGGGCTGCCGTCTATGGGGTCACACAGAGTCGGACACGACTGAAGTGACTTAGCAGCAGCAGCATATATATACATGTTAGTCACTCAGTCATATCTGACTTTGCGACCCCATGGACTGTAGCCTGCCAGGCTCCTCAGTCCATGGAATTTTCCAGGCAGGAATACTAGAGTGGCCTGCCATTTCCTTCTCCAGGGGATCATCCCCTTTCAACCTAGCCTGATTTTATGTAATGAGGTGACTCTGGGTGGGCCCCTAGATAGCTTAGGGATGGAAAATAAATAACCACTAACTAAAGTTTTAGTTTGAACTAAAGTTCAAATCTAGTCCAAAATCCAAGGTGAGGTCTGGGCAGAGGCTCCCATGAACATCCAGCTGGACAGATGTGGTAGCAACGCCATGGAAGAGGTTCGGTTCAAGGATGAGAAGGCCAGTCCTGGAGGGACTCGTGTCACAACAGGGGAAGATTTACTTGGCAGTAATGCTTATGTGTTTTATACTTCAGTTAAGTCATCTATGATTCTGTTTATGGACAGTATCCTGAAGCTTGCTATTTTAAACATGGCCACATTAATTCATTGGCTTTATTAAATATATGTTTCTTGGACAGCAGGTAGAGACAGAACACAGTGCTGAATGTTTCAAAAAAGGACAACAGGTGCTGTCTGCCTTCAAGAGTCACTTTATTCCTAAAAGGAATAAAGCATATATGGAATGGTGAAATAGGGACTTCCTTGCTGGTCCAATGGTTAAGAGTCCAGCCTCCCAAAGCAGGGGACCCGGGTTAGACCCCTAGTCAGGGAACTAGATCCCACATGCCTCAACTAAGAATTGGAATGCCAAAACTAAGACCCAACACAACCAAATAAATAAAATATTTTTTAAAAACCCAGTAAATTAAATAAATTAAAACTGCAAGAACACAGTACCAAAATGAATGGCCCAAGATGCTACAGCAAAGCCTGGAGAAGGGACAGCACTGAGAGTCGGCAGAGCCATGGAGGGGCAGTTTCATGAAGTGGTGGTCTTTGGCTGAGCGCTGAAAAGAAGGACGGTGGGGTCCTGGTGGGTGAGAGTGCAAACCATGTGAGGACACGAAGGGGCAGAAATGTGGAACGGTGAGGGGCAGGGAAAAGATGATGCTGCTTGCAGCCAGAGCTGGTCAGACTGAACCCTGGAGGAAGAAATGTTTGGATCATTCAGAGGTGGTCAGGTGATTCCAGCCCGAAGAGCTGGACTTTCTTGGAAGGCCGGGCACCTGCTGGAGGGGTGGGTCAGGCAGGATGTTTAGAGGAAAAGCAGAGGCCAGGAGACTAGTGTGTAAACCAAGCACGAGAGGACAAAACCAAAAACTAAGACCCAACACAACCAAATAAATAAAATATTTTTTAAAAACCCAGTAAATTAAATAAATTAAAACTGCAAGAACACAGTACCAAAACGAATGGCCCAAGATGCTACAGCAAAGCCTGGAGAAGGGACAGCACTGAAAGTCGGCAGAGCCATGGAGGGGCAGTTTCATGAAGTGGTGGTTTTTGGCTGAGCCCTGAAAACAAGGACGGTGGGGTCCTGGTGGGTGAGAGTGCAAACCATGTGAGGACACGAAGGGGCAGAAACGTGGAACAGTGAGGGGCAGGGAAAAGATGATGCTGCTTGCAGCCAGAGCTGGTCAGACTGAACCCTGGAGGAAGAAATGTTTGGATCATTCAGAGATGGTCAGGTGATTCCAGCCCGAAGAGCTGGACTTTCTTGGAAGGCTGGGCACCTGCTGGAGGGGTGGGTCAGGCAGGATGTTTAGAGGAAAAGCAGAGGCCAGGAGACTAGTGTGTAAACCAAGCACGAGAGGACAAAACCTGGGCTTACCTGGGAGCAGCGGAAGCCTTGTTCTTTTTATTTTAAAGACAAGCAAAAACATCCATAACTTTACCACGTTTCAACCATGGTACATATTTCTCAAATGTTTTACACACTTACACACTTCTGGGACTTGAATCCTAGCCGTGCTAGCTGCGTCATCTGGGCAAGTTACTTCACCTGCCATGTCTCTTAGGTCTCCCTTTTTCAACTGTCCCCGGTTGACAACTGACTGATCGACAATGTATCAGACAATCTGTATAGGTGCACTTAACACATGGCTGGTAGAGTGAATGCCCCCCACTGCCTAGCTATCACTATAAAACTTTCTCTTGTTCTTTTTACACACGTGCACAGCATGGCTATGCTGTAATTTATTCAATCATTCACTTATTGATACACCTTGGGGATGTTTCTAGGATCTTTTCATGTTTTTGCTTGTACAAACAATGTTGCCATAAACAGCCTTGGACATCTCTAAAAAACTCATGTTGGAAATGGATTCCAGGAAGAGAGAAGCTGATGTGTTTTAACTGTTGACAGATGTTGCCTGACAGAAGGGACACCTGGGATGGCACAGCTACTTTAAGAAGAAAGAATCAAAGTTGGCTTAAAGTTTTGTAATCAATATTTGTGATCAATTAAAAAGACGCAGACACAATAAAAACAGTAATTTGAAAAGATACATGCATCCCAGTGTTCATTGCAGCATTATTTATAATAGCCAAGACATGGAAGCAACATAAGTGCCAAGCAACAGATGAATGGATAAAGAAGATGTGGATAAAGAAGACGGATAAAGATTTGAAAAGATACATGCATCCCAGTGTTCATTGCAGCATTATTTGCAAAGGTAAGATACGCTGCTGCTGCTGCTGCTGCTAAGTCACTTCAGTTGTGTCTGACTCTGTGTGGCAGCCCAGCAGGCTCCCCCGTCCCTGGGATTCTCCAGGCAAGAACACTGGAGTGGGTTGCCATTTCCTTCTCCAATGCATGGAAGTGAAAAGTGAAAGTGAAGTCGCTCAGTTGTGTCCAACTCTTAGTGACTCCATGGACTGCAGCCTACCAGGCTCTTCCATCCATGGGATTTTCCAGGCAAGAGTACTGGAGTGGGGTGCCATTGCCTTCTCTGAGCCAAGACATGGGAGCAACATAAGTGCCCAGCAACAGATGAATGGATAAAGAAGATGGATAAAGAAATGGATATGACTCAGCCATATAAAAGAATAAAATAATGCCATTTGCAGCTACATGGATGACCTAGAGAACATTATATTTAGGAGGAGAAATCAGACAGAGAAAGATAAATACTCACTACTTATATGTGGAATCTGAAAGGCAAAACAAAGGAATATATATCACAAAACAGAAACAGATGCACAGACATAGAGAACAAACTGGTGGTTATCAGTGGAGAGGGGCTTCCCAGGTTGTGCTAATGGTAAAGAACCCACCTGCCAATGAAGGAGACGTAAGATATGTGGGTTCAGTCCCTGGGTTCCAGTCGGAAAGATCCGCTGCAGGAGGGCATGGCAACCCACACCATATTCTTGCCTGGAAAATCCCCAGGGACAGAGGAGCCTGGCAGGCTACAGTCCATGCAGTTGCAAAGAGTTGTACATGACAAGTGACTTAGCTCGCACACATGCAAGTATTAGTATAAATAATGTACCTGCTAAATCCTATGTATGTAAATAACATGTAAATATATTATGTAAATACTTAGCATCTATGAACCCATCTCCCAAACGAAAACAGGACCAGAAAATAACTCATATATACTCATACATTTCCCAACTAGCATCACGTCTCTCCTCCCCACCATCATCTTGAATCCTGAGCCCATTAACTCCTTATTTTTCTTTCTGTGTAGCTGTATTGTATTCCTAAGCTGCTCGTGGTTTTAAAACCATGCTTTAGCCTATATAAAGGGTGTCATGTGATCTTTGGGGACCTTGTTTTTCACTCAGTATCCTGTTGCTAAGATTCATCCATTGTGCGGAATGTTGCTGGACTTCATTTGTTAAGCTCCTTTGCTGTCTTACAATGAAAGGTCCTGATGTCATGACTGTTCTTGAGAAACATGCTTACGTTCTTGCTCTTTCTTACCCCATTGTTCCTACTATTTTAGCTTAAAGGCCTGATGGACATCGTGTATTTCAGGAAAGAGGAGTCTCTCTGGCTCATGTGCCATGAGGACTTTGGGGTTCACAGCTGCATGGATCTTATGGCCTCACTATTCATCACACCTTTGTCCATTGTGATTCTCAGAAATATATCCACGACAGCCAGGAGGCCCTCCTTCTTAAAATGAAGCATTTCCCTTCAGTCACTAACCAAGAGGACAGAATAGTGACTCATGGTGTTCGGGTTTCAAAGGGTGAGTAAAGGGAAATGTTAATATGACTCAGAATATACCCAATGGCTTTTGAGTAAATAACCCCAAAATAGCCTTTTCCCCTTCAGGTTCCTGAGTGAGAGCAGTGTGGTGATCCTTTCCTCAGGGAAGCAGCGAGGTTGGGTGGGAACAGGCTGGCTCAGGCAGGCAGAAGTACCAGTGACTATAAACCACCCGCTTGAACTCTTACTTTGTGACCTTGAGCAAATCATTGAATTCAATGGCACTTGGAGATACCTTCTGAGCTCAGAGATCAGGCGGCCTGCCTTCTCCATTCATACAAAACTCAACCCATTTGCAGTTCTTAAAATGTCTGAGTAGGGTTTACAGAAACAGCCCGGCTTTTCTTTATTATTCCAGTAAAATTTGCGGAAACAAGGTTCTGGGGCCAGAGAGTGCCTGTGTTTGGCCATGACGTCCAGGCCTCCCTCAGCCCAACGCTCTCCAGCACAGAGGCGGCTGTGGGAAATTCTGGGGCTGGTGGAGGGCCGCTCAGGCCCCACCTTCTTTCACTCTTCCGGCTTCTCTGGGAACCACAGGTTATTATTTGTGCTCTTTGATGCTTGTCTGAAGGCTGCGTACAGGACATTTTCAAAGGTGGAAAACAAGAGAGCGGGAGATGGAAAGGGAGGGAAGAAAGGAGAAAGAAAGTCTAACCAGGGCAAACATTAAAATAAAATGACCTTTGTGCCATAAATTAGGGGGTTGGCAGAGTGGCTTATTAATGCAGCTTAGGTATTTGAAATGTAGAATTTGCTGGGTTGGCAGATTAATCCCATTTATGCTGCAGAAAGTATTCCATGACATTAAAGGATTTATTTGTTTGCTAATCTGCTTCAGACTCCAGAGGCCTTGTTATAAAATAAGCAGGTGGAGGAGAAGGAAAGGGTCAGAAAGAGGGGTTGGGAGGAGACAGGGTTTTCATCCCCATTTCTGCTGTGAATTTTATGTACCCAGTGCCTAATGAGGGCTTTGAAAACACTATATGACCCAGTCCATAAATATAGACTGGTTTACTTATACCGTGGACAAAGTAGAGGGTTTTTGTTTTTAGAGTTAATGTGACCATTTTTTTTGTAAATATTCAAGCAAGAAGATACTACCTTGGCTATTTCAAACATAGATGTTGAAGCACTTGTTTGAGAAAGAAGCAAACGAAAAGTGTTATTTCGGCGTCTAACAAGCTTTAATCCTCATCATTGGATTTATTGGGAGTCACCATAAAATTTGAAGCAGTCTCCTTTCTTCCGACTTTTTAAACCCCTTCCCCCCAAAATCAAACAAACATTTGCTTTTCTGTTGCCTTTTTCCTCATGGATGGACACAGGGCAATAGCCAAACATCCTCTTAATCTCTTTTTCAAAGACTTGAACCTCCTTTCGGGTAAAGCAGTCACTTTGTTTTGTTCCCCAGCACCTTGACAATGCCGAGAAAACATAATCCTTCACCTAGAATAGAATCTCAGATTTGCTGTTCCATTACCCGGTAGCCTAAGCATTTGTATTAAAAGACAGTTAAGCCTTTTTCAGTGAGGCATTTCCTTCCTTACCTTCCTCACAGAAAGTTCTGCTTTATTTTTAGTAATATCCTGGCTCCTGGTATTGTATTTGTGCACATAATCCCTTCACAATAATGCTTAGCGCTCTGGTGGCACCTTTCCTCCCAGGAACTCAAAGGCCTTTACAAACATTAATTGGTTCTCACAGCACCCCCATGAGATGCGTGAGTGTTCCATTGCAACTGGTATATTATTATCCACATTCTGAGATTTTGCCAGAATTCTTTTGCCTTCTTCCCCAGTGCACTTTCTAATGGAATGTACCTGGAGTCCACTAGGGCTGGCCAGTTAGGACCACAGTAAAGAGTGAAACTTGTTGAAAGGAAACATGAAAGAAAGATGTGAACTGTGGTACAAGTTGCTTGGCGGTGTCCACCTCCACTGACCCTCCAGGGACGGGGAGGCGGGGGAAGACATGTGGGCCTTATCTTCTCTGAAGCCAGAGAAGCCTGACACAGGGCAGCAATGACGGACAACTTCTGCCCAGAGTGTTGAACAAAATCCTGTGGTTCCAAGCTCTGACTCCTGTAATTCCAGGTCTGATATGCCCTGTGATGGTGAACTCTAACCTGCCCTAAGAGACAAACAGTACAGATTATCCCAGGAGCCACTGGAAAAAATCCTTACTGTTCTTTGGGTTGGCACAAGCTGGCTCTGTGCTAAAACTTCACTGTAATTTTTTTTGCAGGGGGTACATCAACTTTTTGTGAGAAAACCTATCAAAAATCTCAAGATTTCCCAAAAGCGTGGGCCATTGTGAAATGTTTAAAAATGAGTGTTAATGTTTACATATCAACTTGAATGATTCTACCTCCTCCTAGTTTTTACTAGATATTTTATTACTAAAATGGGAGCGACATGGAGGGATAATGTGGTAAACGGTTACAGGTGAATACAGGAGACAAAGAACCAGATATCTCTCCTGACAGAACCTCAGAAAGCTCAGCAGCAGCAGCTGAAATGGTGAACTATTGTCCTTTGACTCTCAGCCAATAGGCTCTTTTGCATTCATTCAATCACGCTCATCAAATTTTCTGAAGAATTTCTACTGAGATGTTCTACAGAGGAGAGCAAGCACAAAAGAGCAAGCACATACACACACGTGTATGTGTGTGTGTGCGTGTGTGTGTGTGTGTAACTATGAAAATTAAATGGGCTTCCCTGGTGGCTCAGCAGTAATGATTCAATTCAGGAGCCACAGTAGACACGGGTTCTGTCCCTGAGTCAGGAAGATCCTGACGTGGCAGGCATGGCTACCCACTCCAGTACTCTTGCCCGGAGAATCCCATGGACAGAGGAGCCTGGTGGGCTACAGTCTGTGGGGTCGCAGAGTCCCACACGACTGAGCAATTGAGTGAGCACACATGCAAATTAAAAAGGAAGTTATTATTTTTTTCTTTAATTTAGCACAGAAGCCAAAGATGTTTTTCTTCACTTACAATGGAGCCTGGGGAGAATACAACAGTGAGCAAAACAGAGAAGAATCCCCGCATACGTGAAGCATCTGGAGACAACAGAGACAATGTACAAGTAAACACGTAAAATAAACAAGTATGACAGCCTCTTGCAGCTAAACAAACCTAACATATTTAATCCAGAATCTGTGCTAAATGAACCTATATCATACCCTGAGCTCAATCCAGTGCTACATGAAACCTCCTTGGTCTAATATCCTTAGATTCTATACTCCCACAAAACATTCTCCCAGTGCCAGCATCTCCTCGGGAAGGGAGGGCCAACGAGGCTGTATTTGCAGATGTTGGACTCCACTGTTGTGGGAAGGAACCGCCACAGTTGGGGTTAAAAACAACAACAACAACAACTGTAATCAGGTAATGTTCTGGAAACAGGCAGGGCAGACACAGGGTACCCACAGGAAACAGAAAGCAACAAGTCCCATCTTCTATCCTAGCCTCGCAGTCTTCCTCTAGCGCCTCCTACTGGCAAAGCTACAGCATCAGGTGGCAAAGAAGTATTGTGGTTTGCCAAGGAACAGTTCAGCACCACAAAGCCAAGTTTAGAAGGCTGGATTTGGGGTTGGATGAAAAGATCTTAATGGACACAATGAATTAAAACTTCTTTGGGAAAAAACCACATGAAGTATGTAACATAGTGTAACCACCATTAACCTGTATTTATTCCTCTATTGACGAAGCTTCCTTAAAGGTCACTCAAGAACTGCTGCTCGAGTGCCAGCTCTTTAGCGACCCCATGGACTGTAGCCCACCAGCCTCCTCTGTCCAAGAATACTGGAGTGGGTTGCCATGCCCCTCTCCAGGGGATCTTCCTGACCCAGGGATGGAATCTGGGTCTCCTGCTTTGCAGGCACATTCTTCACTGTCTGAACAACTAAGGAAGCCCCAGTTGATCTTTCAACAGGGTAGAAGAGAGACCATATGCCACAGAGGAAGACACGTATATAGGAGACCTGATATCCAACATGAAATTAAAATGTTTTGTTTTTTTATCATTACTTAAAAAAAAAACCACAGCCTAGTGTTAGCCTATGCACTGGGGGAAGTCGAGGTAAGGTCACTGTCTAAACCAGGGAGAAGAGATAGGAAAGAGCAGCGGTGACCCGGGGAGCTCATTGGAAGCCAGCAGCAGGGGCCCAGGGGTGGGAAGTGACTCATAGGGGACAATGTGGGTAGGGTTGGGGGGGGGTGAGTGGACAGTGAGGAGCTGGTGTTAAGCTTCTGCCATTATGTACTTAACAAATATTGAAATATATGAATAGGAGAGTCCCAGAGAGTATTTGAAGAGGCAGAATGAGTAGATGGACTTTTGGGTATGGGAGGATGAAGACATAATTTGGGTATAAAAGAAAATGTGACCTTATTTTGTTGTTAACAGTCAGTGAAATCTGAAGCCATATTAGTTACATAATCATCTCTCAGTGAATTATCTTGGGGTTTTTACTCTATATCTAAGTATGCCTTCATTGGCTAGCACTTAAGCAATAAAGATGAACAACTGATCTAGTTTCTGCTATTTAATTATGTTAGTGGCCATTGTTTTAGGATTACATTTTTAGCGTGTTAATGTTATCTTTACTTAAAAAAAAAAAGAAATGAATGAATCTCATAAAACTGAGTATTGTTTTCTACTCTGATCTGTTAATATGCTAAATTACTATTTGATCTTGAGTAATCATTTTTAAAAGGTACTTCTTTTAAAGACTTTGATATATAGCTAGTGAAGGGGGATTTGGCAGTATGCTATCACAGCAAGTATTGGGATTTCTTTTTCTTTATGCTTTGAATCACTTTAGATAGCCTAACAATGATCCGATTGAAGATCTAAATGAAATTTTTGACCATATAACCATCTGTGCAAAAAAAGTTTTTGAGTCATCAACCATAAATAGTATTTTCATTATTTTCCAGATATTCCAATATTTTGATTTTGACTTGATCAAATAATTATTTCTAAATGAATTTTGAACTTCTAAGTAATTGTTTTTGTTGTTATTATTGTTTCTGTATTTCATCTTATTTTTAGTTTTATTACATGGTGGATATAGAGCACATTTTCATATCAGTCCAAATTGTGTTGTATCTGACAGATAGCAATCGAAATATTTAACACATGATTTATCTGTTCTCTAATTTCATTATAGACGAGCTCAATTTTTCTTTTTCATTTCCTTAGGTTTTGTTGTGTGTTGTGTGACACGTTAAACACGTCCCAGAAATGTTTATTACCATGTTTCTTTACAAATATATAATTGTATTAATTTACTTATGTTTGGCTGTGCTGGGTCTTCGCTGCTGCGTGGGCTTTTCCCTAGCTGTGGTGAGCAGAAGCTGCTCCCTAGCTGTGGTGTGCAGGCTTCTCACTGCAGCGGCTTCTCCTCTCGTGGAACATGGGTTCTAGAGCACAGGCTCAATACTGTGCGCACTGCGGCATGGGGCATCTTCCCAGATCACAGAGTGAACCCACGTCTCCTGCCCTGGCAGGCTGATTCTTTACCACTGAGCCAAGCCTTGAAAGAAGAATCTACATGTTTTGCAATGATTTTGTAGACTATTAAAAAACTTGTAACTTATCTCTTTCTGCTTAAATCTGCTAGTGAATTCTGTTCTCCAAAGATACAAGTTACGGGGGTATATCTGACATAGAAGTTAAAGTCTATCCATACACACAACTGGCATAATGAAAATGGAAAGCAAAGCAATTTGGAGAACTAGAATTTCTACATGGACCATATTTAGAAACTATTGTTAAATCAATGTACATATAATTTCAAAAAGGGCTCTGGTGGGTGCTCATCTTTAAAGGAAGGACTCAGGAAAACACTACAAAATGAACCAAGACTCTAACAACCTCACATTCAAGGACTGAAGTAACAACAGGCCAGGAACATTATTTTATTCTACCTTTTGAACACCTTTTCTATAGCCTTCTCCTGCTTAAGACAAATGAAGCAGATACTCAGGTTTGTTTTTCTATAAAATTCAATAATTATTTTTCCAAAATGGAAAGTTTATATATTATTTTTAGAATCTGTTTTATGCATTAGAAATAGCACAGACCTGAATACTTTTCAAGCTAGGTTAGGGTGGCTGGTATTAAACTTACAAATAAATTTTCTTGCTTGCAAAGAACTTAAAAGCCATTCTTCTGAGTTTTGTTATTAGAAGGAAATATTAGTTTCACTATACAAACTGAAGCCCCTTGGAATGTTGCAAAAAGTGTCAATATGAATATCTCCAAATCCCGGAAGGAATCTGAACCAGTGAAATACTTTTGACCAAATAGATGTCCAAAAACCGAGTTATGCTTAGATAGGAAGCTGGGCATTTTCTTTCCTTGTTGAACTTAAATTTGCCATGAATTGTATTGTATATTCAATCACAAACAATCCAAAATAATAGGAGCATACACCATTTTAAATCCATAAACATGAGACTCTGGAATGAGAAGTCAAATTGTTATACAGATAAGCTAGGTAAACTCTCACCAGTGACACCTGACCTGCTCTTTTTTGCGACTCAGACCTCTACTGTTACTGCTCTGGAAAAGGCACAAACTTCAAGTAAAGGATTATCATTGCCTTTTCAATGGCAATTGTTAGCTACCTAAAGATATTAAAAATTTTTTTTTGGTTTGGAATCGACTAAAGATGTAGTATCTAAAATCTCTTAAAATCCTTAATTCTACCTCTTTGTATGATCACAGTGCCATGGACTGACTCTGAGATTTAATTTCTCCCACCCACTGCAAGACGTGTAGCATCTAAATACTAACTTTAACCAACAAATTTCTTTCAACTTCACAAGGAAAAAATAGTTTTTATATTTCTTTAATTTTGGATCAGTTTGAGAAGATGGAGGTTTACTAAACTGATTGTGGTCATCATTACATGATGTAAGTCAAATCATTATGCTGTCTATATACCTTAAACTTATACAGTGCTGTATGTAGTATCTCAATAAAACTAGAAATTAAAAAAAAACCAATAGGGAAAAAACCAAATTCTTTCCACTTGTTTCCTGGGTCCTAAAAACCTGATCCTTATTTATTTGTCTGCATTTTATTCCATCATGCCTGGTACTCCTGATTTTCCAGAAATGTGGTGGGTTGCATTGGAAGTCCATGGAATGGGGTGAATTTATGATTATGATGTTAGTTAGAATGCAGAACATGACTATAGGTGCATTTTGCTCTTGCATCAAAACATGTCAATTTAAGGTCATCTTTTAAAAATCATAAAATATTTAGGTATACAAAAATTACAGATTGTACTACAATCAGTATCTGTATTCCCATCACTCAGTTTAAGATATGAAACATTCCAACTTTTCTCCTCTGGGGAAGTTCTTCTCCAATACTTAGTGTTTGGTTTCCATTCATGTAGTGTTCTACTACATGTCCCCTTAAACAACATATTATCTTGCATGCCTTAAAACTTTAAATATTAAGTATCCTTCCGAAACATTCTTTTTGAGATTACTATTTTACATATAGCTATTTTATTTTACTGCCATAGGTACTGCATTGTATGAGTATTTCATAGAAATTCCTTCTCTTACTGATGGATAGTAAGATTGCTTCCAGTTTCTTACTACTCACAATTAATGGTAATATGATTTTCGCATTCATTACCTTGTTGAGTAACTTGCTCTGAGTTATACACTTGGGAGAACCATTGGGATTATAGGGTTTTCAACACTACTAGTTATGCTAGTAGCTTTTTGAAGTGGCTGTACCAATTTACACTCCACCAGCAGAGTGTGGCGGCCCCACGGGCCCTTTGGGATTATAAACTCTGCAAGCAGGGTTTTGGGGTTTCCCTGGTGGCTCAGTGGTAAAAAATCTGCCTGCCAATGCAGGAGACACAGGTTCAGTCCCTGGGTTGGGAAGATAGATCCCCTGGAGAAGGAAATGGCAACCCACTTCAGTATTCTTACTCTTATCTGGAAAGTATTCTTATTCTTCCTATGGACAGAAGAGTCTGGTGGGCTGCAGTCCAGAGGCTTGCAGAGTTGGACACAATTTAACGACTAAACTACAACAAGCAGGATTTTAGCTTTTTAATTCAAGGCACAGACCAAGTCAA